GGTAATTTCTGTTGACCTATGTTTAAGTTCATTGATTCTTAACTTGATTGTATCTGGTCTGCTGATGAGCTCATCAAAGGCATTCTTCATCTTTAGTACCATATTTTTTGTTTCTGACATTTTCACTTTACTGTAATACTTTTCTTATGTCTGCTCCATCTGTCTAGTTATATTGTCCACCTTTTCCACTGAACCATTACCATATTATAGTTGTTTTAAATTCTGTCTGATATTCATCTGGGTCATCTCTTAATTTTCAGGGATTGCTCTGTTGATTGCTTTGTCTCTTGGCAGTGGATTGGGTTTGTTTTTTTTTTAATGCTTTCATTTTTATGTGAGTCGTTATTTTGTATTTGATACTAGATACTGTATGTAGAGCATTAAAGACAGAGGGTAGACAGTGTTTAGGCCTGGAGATGAACACACCTCTTCTGCTAGAATTGAGTTAGGTTTGGATTTTTGTTGTTGTTATTGTTACCTGCAGCGCACCATCAAATTCCTCTAGTGTTACTTTGTGCTTAGTGGTGGGACTGGTTTTTGGGAAGATTTTTCTAAGTGTTCCTGTTCACCCTCAGTTTTAGGCCTTCTCTGTGCTCTTATGTTTCAGACAGGATATATTTCCATGTTCTCATCCCTCTTTCGAAGGTAGATGGCTCTTTCTTGTTACTGTCTATTTGCTAGCTTGGCAGTGGGGAGGGAGGGCGCTTGGGGAGGAATTTTTTTTTTTTTTGTCCTGGTGAATCCTTACCTGTTTGGTTGCTATTTATAATCTCTGGCTCATTTTCAAGTTTCTTTTTGTTTAAAGTTTTTTTTTTTATTATAGCTTTATATTTTCTGATACTTCCAATGTTGGAATACTTGCAGGTGTGATTCTGCTACTGTTTTTCTGTCCATTATTGCTCATTATGTCTCGTGATTGGGTTTTGTTGTTGGGGTTTTTTGTTTTTTGGTATATTTGCACATGACTTCATACGTGTTGAACTTTGGGTGTGGGAATTCCTTGAGGTTTGGGTTAAAGTTGCATTCTTACAGAGAGGTTTTTGCCAGTTGCATGTATGTTTTTAGTCCTGAACTTCTTTAAATTTTTTTATGTGCTTAAGGTACTATGAATTAAAACTACAGACCTGCATGAAGGATGGCTTCTGTTTTGAATTCCCTCCACCCGCAGCAGTCCTTTTCTCAGTGCTAAGCAAGTTTTCTTCCTCTCCCTTCTGCAGGATGGGCTTAAACCTTGCAGTGAGGGTGTAGCTCTTTGGAATGAGTAAGTCTCCTTTGGATTCCCTGCCTTTGTTGGATTCTCTGTTATTTCCTATCTCTCTCATTCCCTACAACCATCAAAGTGGAAAGTCTTGTCTCTAAAGTTGAGAAATCATCTGCTAGATTGGGGCTTTGTTGCTAGCCTACTTCCTGTCATTTTGTTTTCACTTCTTTCTTTGCATTTGGATTCCTTATTTTTCTGCCATTTCAGTATGTGTTTATGAGGTTTCATTTTTAAAACTCACATTTCAGTTGTAATCAGCGGGAGCTTTACTAAGGGTGCTTAATCCTTTTTCCATTGTTTGGTTTTTCCTTTCATTTGGTACTTTTCCCCACATTTTTAAGGCTAGAAACTCCTTTCCTACATTTAATTTACTACTGTTTCTATTTTGAAAAACATTTATTGTTTAAATCTCTGCTTTTGCTCAATAAATGGTAGCTACTGAAAGATCTAAGAATATGGATATGATACTGGAATTTTACCTAAAGTAAATAATCTAGTTCATCCTGTGGGATAGGGCAGTATGAAGGAGATGAATTTCTTAGTCACACTTGGTGTTTTTTTAAAATATTCATTCATTCATTTATTCATTTTTGGCTGCACTGGGTCTTAGTTGTGGCAGGTGGGATCTTCGTTGCAGCATGTGGGATCTTTAGTTGCGGCTTGCATGCGGGTTCTAGTTCCCCAACCAAGGATTGAACCTGGGCCCTCTGCTTTGAGAGTGCAGAGTCTTAGCCACTGGACCACCAGGGAAGTCCCCACACTTGGTTTTTGAATTGTTACACACTTCTGTGAAATACTTAAGTTTTATGAGACTCTGCACCATCCGTTAACACAGAAAGAGTAGCTATGTTGTGAGCCTTAAAGGACATAAGTAATAGTTTCTGGTACTTGGCCTAGCGTAGTGATTTAGAAAATACAATGGTTCTCCCATCATTTTTTAGAAAAGGAAATTGAATCTCAAGGAGGTGACATGTATTTGCTACCTATACAAAATTCTATAGTTTTAAGTTGGAAATCAAGCCCCTGTCTCTTCTGGATTTTACTTTTCAGAAGAGTAGTATTCAGTAACTTATTCTGCCTGCCTGTATATTTCTTGAGTATCTTATACATACTTCCAAGGGCTTAAGATATTTGGGAAGAAAGAAAGAATTTAATGTAATGCCCACTTTGGCAAATGTTTTGAATAAGTGAACAAAGATGAACGTAAATACAATGCACTTCCTATACTAGGTAGCTTGTAGTGAGGTAGGCTTATCTAATAATTATGGCCAGTATGCTTAGTGCTATAGAAGGGGTAGCACCTACCTCTTGAGGCAGAACTGGGTCATGAGGTATGTGTAGGATGCTGAGATGTTAGCAAAGGAGGCATGGGCTTTTAGGCAGAAATAATGCATATGTATGTAAAGGCCTGAAGGCAGTCCTGTTTATGAGAAGTCCAGGTTGTGTGCACACAGTAAAGCAGTCAAAAGGAATGTCTCTTGTGGTTACGGGAGAGATGGCAGTTGAGATGTGTCTTAAATGATTGGTAGTGTTTCAGCATATGAAGATAACATGGATAGGATAACAGAAATGGAGGAAATAAGTAAAGTTACTTAGCAGAATGTAAGTTATTTATGTATAGGGACCCATGAATAGTCACATTGACTTGGCTGCCACTTACTCTTGAACTCTCAAACCTACAGAACAGCTTAGACATCACCTCTTTCTGAGAAATCATCAGGAAATTGTGCATATCTCATTAGAGCTTTTATGTGAGAGGATTTTTTGTGGGGAGGAGGATATGGGAGCAGTTTTTCCAGGCTTCCATGTATAAAGATAAAGTGATAAAAATATTTTGGGAATGGAGCATGTATGACTTGGAATATCAAATATAATAGTTTAAAATTTATTTGGTAACCATTAGAGGCCCATTGTAGCATTTTGAACAGGAGACCTGACATAATGATGATTTATCTGACCATGCCATATGGAATTGGAGAGGAACATGACAGAAGCAGCAAGTTCAGGACTGAAGTGATTAAGACTTGAATAAAGAATGGTGGTAATGGGAATGAAAGAAAAGGCATTGTGAAAGGGATTTCTAAACAAAGATTTGACAGGTTCTAAGAAATGATTGAAGATAAGATATGGAAGACAAGCAGGGGAATTGGAGATGTTGGAATTTCATACTTGGGTGACTAGGAAATTTTTGATATCAGCAGGAGATGGGACATTAGCAGGAAAAGTAGTTGAGGGAAAAAGCTGAACTTCCCATTTGTTATTTATTGGATGTGAGGTTAATTATAAACTCTACTTTAGAGCATGTCAATATTCCTTCTAAGAATTATGCTATACTCTGTCATTAGATGGGAAAGGTAGTCTTTTTTTTTCTTCTAGTTTTATTGAGATATAATTTACATACAGCACTGTATCAGTTTAAGGCATAATGGTTTGACTTACATACATCATGAAGTGATAAATCACAGTAAGTTTAGTGACCAACAATCATCTCATATAGATAGAAAATTAAAGAAATAGAAAAAATTATTTTTCTTGTGATGGGAATGCTTAGGATTTGCTCTCTTAACAACTTTCATATATAACATATGACAGTGTTAATTATATTTATCATGTTGACATTACATCCCTAGTACTTATTTGTCTTATAACTGGAAGTTTGTACCTTCTGATTTCCTTCATCCAATTCCTGCTCCCCTCAGCCCCCACCTCTGGGAACCATAAATCTGATCTCTTTTTCTATAAGTTTCTTTGTTTTTGAACTGTAATTGACCCAGAACACTATGTTAGTTCCTTTTACCCAAAGTAGTGATTTGGTATTTCTGTACATTTCAAAATGATCACCACAATAAGTCCATTTACCATCTGTCATCATACAAAGATATTGATATTATATAACTATTGACTATATTCCTCATGCTGTATATTTCATATCCATGACTCATTTATTTTACAGCTGGAAGTTTTTTACCTGTTAATCTCCCTCACCTATTTCTTTCCTCCCCTGGCAATGTAGTCTTGTATCAGTAGCATAAGTTTTGGAAACAGGCCTGTATGCCAGGTCACCTTTAATAAATATCACTGTTGTGAGACTGAAAAGTTGCTGATCTTTTTGGATTTTACTTTGTTCACATATAAACTAGAAATAGTAATACCTGATTACAGGGCTGTTGTGTAAACTAAATAGTATAATATATATCCATGCTGTCCTATTATAAGCCCTCAATAAATGTTAGTTTTCCCTTCTTCCTTAGAAGATGCCAGCCTTATTTATTCTTGACTATTTTCACACATTAAGATGGACATCAAAGAATAATGCATAAAACATTTTTGTTTCACTGTTTAGCAGTTCACTGAAGTCATAACCATGATTGTTTGCTAAATAAAATATGTGTATAATCAGGCAGTTTGTAATTAGACTAACTCAGAAGTTGTAATTATTGAATGTGTAGGTGTAGTTAACAGCCTTCATTTCTGGTAAATGACTTTACTTAGAGGATGTATGTTTATGTGAGCAAGAGGGACTATTTCCTGGAAGGAAACTGTGGTCTCCAGATCTTTATAATAACGTCACCTTTAGTCTTTTTGAAGTCATGAGCATTGTCCTATACAGACTGTTTTCTTGAGGCAGTTTCGTGCAAGTAGTAAATGAAGCCTCCTTATGCACCTGTTAAAACTCCATAGACTGTCAGTAATATGGAAAAATTGGATGTTTAATCAGGAATGCGAACATGTGTTTCAGGTAGAGAATTCCAAAGATAATGAAGATAGTATTCTACAAAGAGAAATTCCTGCCAGACAGTCTCGACGAAGGTTTCGGAAAATTAACTGTAAAGGAGAACGCCAAACTATTACTGATGATGTGGACATTAACAGCTATCTTTCTGTGAGTATATTTAGGAACATTTCATGGGTATTTCTTAGATCATATGCAGTATACTTAATTTACATATACATATATTTTAACATCTTTATTGGAGTATAATTGCTTTACAATGGGGTGTTAGTTGCTCCTTTATAACAAAGTAAATCAGTATATACATATACTTATATCCCCGTATCTCCTCCCTCTTGCTTCTCCCTCTCATCTGCTTTATCCCACCCCTCTAGGTGGTCACAAAGCACTGAGTTAATCTCGCTGTGCTATGTGGCTGCTTCCCACTAGCTATCTGTTTTACATTTGGTGTTGTATATATGTCCATGCCACTCTCTCACTTCATCCCAGCATACTCTTCCCCCTTGCCGTGTCCTCAAGTCCATTGTGTATGTCTGTGTCTTTATTCCTGTCCTACCCCTAGGTTTTTCAGAACCTTTTTTTTTTTTTTAACCTTCCATATATATGTGTTAGCATACAGTGTTTGTTTTTCTCTTTCTGACTTACTTCACTCTGTATAAGACTCTAGGTCCATACACCTCACTACAAATGACTCAATTTTATTTCTTCTCTTTTTTTTTTTTGCGGTACGTGGGTCTCTCACTGTTGTGGCCTCTCACGTTGTGGCACAGGTTCCAGACGTGCAGGCTCAGCAGCCATGGCTCACGGGCTTAGCTGCTCCACGCCATGTGGGATCTTCCCAGACCGGGGCATGAACCCATATCCCCTGGATCGGCAGGCGGACTGTCAACCACTGCACCACCAGGGGAGCCCCAATGCCCCAATTTTGTTTCTTTTTATGGCTGAGTAATATTCCATTGTATATATGTGCCACATCTTCTTTATCCATTCATCTGTTGATGGACACTTAGGTTGCTTCCATGACCTGGCTATTGTAAATAGAGCTGCAGTGAACATTGTGGTACATGACTCTTTTCGAAATATGGTTTGCTCAGGGTATATGCCCAGTAATGGGATTGATGGGTCATATGGTAGTGCTATTTTTAGTTTTTTAAGGAACCTCCATACTGTTCTCCATAGTGACTGTATCAATTTATATTCCACCAACAGTGCAAGAGGGTTCCCTTTTCTCCACACCCTCTCCAGCATTTATTGTTTCTAGATTTTTTGATGATGGCCATTCTGACTGGTGTGAGGTGATACCTCATTTAGTTTTGATTTGTGTTTCTCTAATGATTAGTGATGTTGAGCATCCTTTCATGTGTTTGCTGGCAATCTGTATTCTTCTTTGGAGAAATGTCTATGTAGATCTTCTGCCCATTTTTGGATTGGGTTGTTTGTTTTTTTGATATTGAGCTGCTTGTAAATTGTGGAGATTAATCCTTTGTCAGTTGCTTCATTTGCAAATGTTTTCTCCGATTCTGAGGGTTGTCTTTTCATCTTGTTTATGTTTTCCTTTGCTGTGCAAGAGCTTTGAAGTTTCATTAGGTCCCATTTGCTTATTTTTGTTTTTATTTCCATTTCTCTAGGAGGTGGGTCAAAAAGGATCTTGCTGTGATTTACGTCATAGAGTGTTTTGCCTATGTTTTCCTCTAAGAGTTTTAGAGTGTCTGGCCTTGCAGTTAGGTCTTTAATCCATTTTGAGTTTATTTTTGTGTATGGTGTTAGGGAGTGTTCTAATTTCAGTCTTTTACGTGTAGCTGTCCAGTTTTCCCAGCACCACTTATTGAAGAGGCTGTCTTTTCTCCGTTGTATATTCTTGACTCCTTTATCAAAAATAAGGTGACCATATGTGCGTGGGTTTATCTCTGGGCTTTCTCTGCTGTTCCATTGATCTATCTTTCTGTTTTTGTGCCAGTGCCATACTGTCTTGATTACTGTAGCTTTGTAGTATAGTCTGAAGTCCAGGAGCCTGATTCCTCCAGCTCCATTTTTCTTTCTCAAGATTGCTTTGGCTACTTGGGGTCTTTTGTGTTTCCGTACAAACTGAAATGTTTTGTTCTAGTTCTGTGAAAAATGCCATTGGTAGTTTGATAGGGATTGCATTGAATCTGTAGATAGCTTTGGGTAGTATAGTCCTTTTCACAATATTGATTCCTCCAATCCAAGAACATGGTATATCTCTCCATCTGTTTGTATCATCTTTGATTTCTTTTTTCAGTGTCTTATAGTTTTCTGCATGCAGGTCTTTTTTCTCCTTAGGTAGGTTTATTCCTAGATATTTTATTCTTTTTGTTGCACTGTTAAATGGGAGTGTTTCCTTAATTTCACTTGCAGATTTTTCATCATTAGTGTATAGGAATGCAAGAGATTTCTGTGAATTAATTTTGTATCCTGCTATTTTACCAGATTCATTGATAAGCTCTAGTAGTTTTCTGGTACCATCTTTAGGATTCTCTGTGTATAGTATCATGTCATCTGCAAACAGTGACAGCTTTACTTCTTCTTTTCCAATATGGATTCCTTTATTTCTTTTTCTTCTCTGTTTGCTGTGGCTATAACTTCCAAAACTATGTTGAATAAGAGTGGTGAGAGTGGGCAACCTTGTCTTGTTCCTGATCTCAGTGGAAATGCTTTCAGTTTTTCACCATTGAGAATGATGTTGGCTGTGGGCTTGTCATATATGGCCTTTATTATGTTGAGGAAAGGTCCCTCTATGTCTACTTTATGTGGGGTTTTTATCATAAATCGGTGTTGAATTTTGTCAAAAGCTTTTTCTGCGTCTATTGAGATGATCATATGGTTTTTCTCCTTCAATTTGTTAATATGATTTATCACATTGATAGATTTGCGTATATTGAAGAATCCTTGCATTCCTGGAATAAACCCCACTTGATTATGGTGTATGATCCTTTTAATGTGCTGTTGGATTCTGTTTGCTAGTATTTTGTTGAGGATTTTTGCATCTGTGTTCATCAGTGATATTGGCCTATAGTTTTCTTTCTTTGTGACATCCTTGTCTGGTTTTGGTATCAGGGTGATGGTGGCCTCGTAGAAGGAATTTGGGAGTGTTCCTCTCTCTGCTATATTTTGGAAGAGTTTGAGAAGGATAGGTGTTAGCTCTTCTCTAAATGTTTGATAGAATTCGCCTGTGAAGCCATCTGGTCCTGGGCTTTTGTTTGTTGGAAGATTTTGAAATACAGTTTCAATTTCAGTGCTTGTGATTGGTCTGTTCATATTTTCTATACCTTCCTGATTCAGTCTTGACAGGTTGTGCATTTCTAAGAATTTGTCCATTTTATCGGCATAGAGTTGCTTGTAGTAATCTCTGATGACCTTTTTTATTTCTGCAGTGTCAGTTGTTACTTCTCCTTTTTCATTTCTAATTCTATTGATTTGAGTCCTCTCCCTTTTTTTCTTGATGAGTCTGGCTAATGGTTTATCTATTTTGTTTATCTCCTCAAAGAACCAGCTTTTAGTTTTATTGATCTTTGCTATTGTTTCCTTCATTTCTTTTTCATTTATTTCTGTTCTGATTTTTATGATTTCTTTCCTTCTGCTAGCTTTGGGGTTTTTTTGTTCTTCTTTCTCTAATTGCTTTAGGTGTAAGGTTAGGTTGTTTCAGATGTTTCTTGAGGTAGGATTGTATTGCTATAAACTTCCCTCTTAGAGCTGCTTTTGGTGCATCCCATAGGTTTTCAGTTGTCGTGTTTCCATTGTCATTTGTTTCTAGGTATATTTTTATTTCCTCCTGATTCCTTCAGTGATCTCTTGGTTATTTAGTGTATTGTTTAGCCTCCATGTGTTTATAGGTTTTACAGATTTTTTCTTGCAGTTGACATGTAGTCTCATGGCGTTGTGGTCGGAAAAGATACTGGTACAATTTCAATTTTCTTAAATTTACCAAGGCTTGATTTGTGACCCAAGATATGATCTGTCCTAGAGAATGTTCCATGAGCACTTGAGAAGAAAGTGTATTCTGTTGTTTTTGGATGGAATGTCCTATAAATATCAGTTAAGTCCATCTTGCTTAATATATCATTTATAGCTTGTGTTCCTTATTTATTTTCCTTTTGGATGATCTGTCCATTGGTGAAAGTGGGGTGTTAAAGTCCCCTACTATGATTGTGTTACTGTCGATTTCCCCTTTTATGGCTCTTAGCATTTGCCTTATGTATTGAGGTGCTCCTATGTTGGGAGCCTAAAGATTTAAAATTGTTATAACTTTTTCTTGGATTGATCATTATGTAGTGTCCTCTTTTTCTCTTGTACTAGTCTTGATTCTAAAGTCTATTTTGTCTGATATGAGAAGTGCTACTCCATCTTTCTTTTGATTTCCATTTGCATGGAGTATCTTTTTGCATTCCTTCATTTTCGGTCTGTATGTGTCCCTAGGTCTGAAGTGGGTCTCTTGTAGGCATCATGTATACGGGTCTTGTTTCTTTGTCCATTCACCCAGTCTGTGTCTTTTGGTTGGAGCATTTAATCCATTTACATTTACGGTAGTTATCAATCTGTATGTTCCTTTTACCATTTTCTAAATTGTTTTGGGTTTGTTATTGTAGGTGTTTTTCTTCTCTTGTGTTTTCTGCCTAGAGAAGTGCCATTAGCATTTATTGTAAAGCTGGTTTGTTGGTACTGAATTCTCTTAGCTTTGATTGTCTGTAAGGGTTTTAATTTCTCCTTCGAATCTGAATGAGATCCTTGCTTGGTAGAGTAATCTTGGTTGTAGGTTTTTCCCTTTCATCACTTTAAATATGTCCTGCCACTCCCTTCTGGCTTGCAGTTTCTGCTGAAAGATCAGCTGTTAAACTTATGGGGATTCCCTTGTATGTTATTTTTTGTTTTTCCCTTGCTGCTTTTAATATTTTTTTCTCTTCATTTAATTTTTGATAGTTTGATTAATGTGTGTCTTGGTGTGTTTCTCTTTGGATTTATCCTGTATGGGACTTTCTGTGCTTCCTGGACTTGATTGACTCTTTCCTTTCCCATGTTAGGGAAGTTTTCGACTATAATCTCTTCAAATTTTCTCAGTCCCTTTCTTTTTCTTTTCTTCTTCTGCGACCCCTATAATTCGAATGTTAGTGTGTTTAATGTTGTCCCAGAGGTCT